ACTCACTATAGTTTACTATATAGTACATTTAGTAGATTAAGCTTTCTGTTATATGGATGGATTAAGACACTATTTCAATCATGGGGGATCAATTAAAGTGCATCTTATCTTAATTAAAGTCCAGGTGAAATGATAAATGTCATTTTAACTCTTTAAGATCACATCCTCAGTTATATTGTTCCCCTATTTAACAATTTATGACAAAAACATTCACAAAAACTCAATTTATTTGTATTTTTACATCAGAATCAAATCATTTTGTGTTCCTGTAAAACAAAATGAGAGTGATTTCAACCAATAATATCCTAACATTCACCCGCCAATTAATCTTCAACTTTTATACTTTTATCGATACGTAGTTAGCTAACAGCATGGCTCACTGATTACTGTACAAACACACAACTTTATCAGGGATTTGGGTGAAACTGGATCATATTTTATGGAGAAAATATTGTCTGGTTTCCCCTCTGACATCCTAACTGCTAATGTAGCAACTGAACGGGGCTCAGCAGCCTCCCAGTGAACACAACCTCCGAGACAGACAGAGGACTGTTTGACGACAGTGGCACGAGGTGATTTATGGTAGTTTCCAGATGGACTTGTTGCTTAAAGAAGCTAACTGTCGCTAACAGTAATGTTAGATGCCGTTAGAAAGTGAATCATGTCCCGAATCCAGGGGGGCTGCAGGAGATTTCCACTTTATCAGGATCAGTCTTCTGGCCAGCAGGAAGCTGAAGGCAATCTCATTGTTTTGGGATACAGATAAAGAGGTCAAGGACACAGTGAACAGAGCACTGAGAGGGTTATTGGGTCCAGCTCTCGGCCCAAAGTTTTAGAAAGTCATTGTTCAGAAGTTAGTGGGTTAGCAGAGGCCTGATGATGACGAGTTTACAAAAACTGAGACTTCTTGTAGTTGGTTTAGATATTGAACACAAGACTTTCATATGTAGTGTAGTCATTTTAAATACACATCAAAATCAGAAACACAGAAAAATCTAATAAAAACAGCACTCTTCTGTACATTTAAGCCTGTATTGTATATTGTTTCTATTATAGCAGTGTTTGACCTTAATTATTGTTATGTTTGTATTTTATTATTCTAAATTCATATTCTTGCAACACATAAAACCACAAACTTTGAAATGAAATTGAAAGAGGGTCTGAAAATTTCTGGGAGTGATAATAGATAATACACTAAAACTTCAAAGTCAGTTGTCCAAAATGTCCACACAATGCAGAAATGTCCTCACTACGATGGTTTGAAACTGCAACAGGTCCTCACAAAGATAGCAATACGAGCATAACACACACACACACACACAGAAAAACAGGAGAAGGGAAATGTAATTACATCACTCGCTGTCGTCTCCTCTGAAACTGAAACTGGACTCCTTCGTGTCTCATGTTGGTGTAACGTGACATTACTGTGCTGATGTTAACATGTTAAAGACTGGGTCAGAGTCACATATAAAACACGTTTATTATCAGTTATTTGTTATTTATAATCTTATTTATAATCTGAAGATCAATAACTGCTGCCACATTTAGCTCCAATAAATCATGTTTATTATCATTATTATCTTCTTCCTCAGTTTATCCCCGTTGAACTTAAAGGAAACGAGCTGAGAGTTTTCTGGAAACAATAAACAGAATTTAAAACTTAATATTCAGTTTTTCTGCTTGTTTTTATTTATTTTCAACACAAAAATAAAGATTTAAAGAGACTTTTTGACCACCAGAGCTTGAAAAACTAATAATAACGTTTCATTAAAAAAAAAAGATTATTGAGACATTTCCTCTGAGTGTTGAGGACTTTCTGAAAATACAGATAAATCTCTCCTTTGATAATATGAGCTGTGAATTTTCTGACTATCCTCACAGATTTTCATGATGCATATTAAACAGCACAACAGTGATGATCTCTGCTTCTCACCCACTTACTCCCTCTTGTGTCCTGTTTCTATTCCTGTAGAGAAGCTCTGAGTCAAATAAAAAAATAAAAAATGTCCTTCAGGAACCAAACAGGAAATAAAAAAAGGTTTTTTTTTACAACAACGATGATGCAGCAGCCTGGAAACCTGACAAACACCTGAAGTACCGACGGGATGCAGCTCCGTTATCCGTCCTGCAGCAGAGGATGTTCATCCACTCAGCTCCCACATGCAGCACTTTGACCTCCTCCAGGTTCACGAACCATCAGAAAATAACTTTCCACTATCGACACAAAGTCCATTAAACAAAAGCAAAATCTCTCACATCAGCTGCTTCATGTTAGAGAATAATTTTATATTTGAGGCTGTTGCACAAATACACCTATTATGTTCTATTTTATGATACATAGTGGATATATTTTATTATGTTTTATTATATTTTTGCAGTACATTCCCCTGTGCCAACTTAATAAAGAAACATCTTTATCTTATCATATTGTAATTATTGTATTTTTATTACTCTAATGTATATTGTTGCAACAAGTACACAAACCAAAGGTATGTTGAACTTGAAAGAGGAGAGTGATAATAGATAGAAAACTATTCATATAAATTATATAAAAACAAACATTTTAAGGTCAGTTGTGTAAAATTAAGGATTTTCTAAATTGAAATTGAATATTAAGTAAAAATACTCAGTTACACTCACAACTGCTGTCTGCTTTATGTTACTTATATTACATTTTATTGTATTTTTCATATTTTATTCTATTTTTCTTTACTTTTTGCACTACACTGTTAAATAAATAATAATATATATTAAGATTTTCACTTATGTTTGTATCTGGAGCTGCTATAGCGAGTAGATATGAGATCAATGAAGTCTATCTTATGTTATCTTACATGTTTAATGTAAAATAATCTGTAACTGTAAAAAATCATAAAATTACTGCTTTTTTAAAAGTTTTTTTCTTTTTTTCACATAAAATTCAAGTTTAATACTGTTAATATATTTCTACATTTATATAATGTATACTTATAAAATAATATCACATTTCAGACAGTTAAACTGTCAAGTACAACACACTTATTATATTCTATTTCATGGAATGTTGTTGTATTTTCTTATATTTTCTTTACTCTTTGCACATTTCTGTCCACTGCTGTTCAAAACTGTGAGTTTCCTCTACAGAGGATCAATAAATGAAAGTCTTGTTATTACTGTGTTTTATTATTATAAATTCATAATTCTTGGGAATCGTGCAACAAATACTCATTTAATTAATGTTGAAACTGGTTCTGGAGTGATAATAGCTGATAAACTATGCTGATGAATGATGTTAATGTTGAGAGCTGAACATTAACCAGAGAACATTTGTTTAATGACAGTGACTCAGAGTGTCTGACGCTCTGATGGAGGAGTCGAAGAGTTTGATGGCTGCAGGCAGGAATGACTTCCTGTGGCGTTTCTGTGGTTCATGTCGGTGGAGTGAAGCACGTCCTGTGTTTGACCAGCTCAGAGTGGAGTGGGTGGGAGACATTGTCACTGGCCTTGTATAACTTTGAGTCTGTTGGCGTCCGCTACGCTCAACCTGCTGCCACAGCACACAACAGCAAACTGGAGATTTCATTGGTTTCTACTTTAATCAAATGGTTGGTTTGACTGACAAAATAGTCAGTCAAACCAACAGTGTTTTTTGGGGTGAATATTGCTGTTGAATTTACCTTTATTGTTGTTATTTTTGTATTTTTGTTATTTTTGTATTTTATTATTCTAAATTCATATTCTTGCGACAAATAAACACACAAACATGTGTTCAGGGTCTAAAAATTACATTTCTGGAAGTGATAATAGATAATAAACTAAAACTTCAAAGTAGGTTGTGTATAATTAAGGATTTTACCCTGAGGTATTTCTACTTTTACTTCAATAAAATATCTGAATACAGGCCCCTCACCTCAACCCCAAAGACAGGACTGTCCAAAATATCCACACAATGCAGAAATGCAGATTCCTGATGTGTACTGACAAAGAATAGATGTTTAATTGTAAATATTAGTCTTTGCACCTTACCTACTTATTTATCTTTTTTTGTCTTTTCTATCTATCTATCTTATGCACAATTGTGTACTCTTTCTATTTGTTGGGTTTAACTAATTAAATGGGAGAAGCAATGTTGTTTTCAAGTGAATATTAAAAACTTTTTTTTATTGATACTTTTTCAAATGTACAAATACTGCAATTCATTATACAAATATGTCAATACAATAAAAAATATATATAATTTTGACCCAATATCAACAATAATAAATAAATACACATAACAAAAGAGAATATAAAAAAAACAATGCATATACAAGTTTAATTAAAAATGAATTTCAAGTTAAAAAAACAAAGAAATTAAACAATTAAAACAAAAAACAAATACTATTAAACAAATAAAACAAAAAAACAATTAAACAAATAAAAAACAAACAAATACTATTAAACAAATGAAAAAAAAAACAATTAAACAAATAAAACAAAAATACTATTAAACAAATAAAATAATAAAAAAAACAAATACTATTAAACAAATAAAAAACAAACAAATACTATTAAACAAATAAAAAACAAACAAATGCTATTAAACAAATAAAACAAAAAAACCAAAGGCTATTAAACAAATAAAACAAATACTATTAAACAAACAAAACAAAAAAAAATACTATTAAACAAATA